AAAAAAAAAAAAAAAAAAAATTAATTTAAGTTAAATAAATAATAAAAGCGCAAAAATGTAAATAAAAGATATCCTAAAAAAACATAATTCCTTATCAAAAAAAAGATGTAAAAAAATAGTACTAATAAATAACAAAAAACCTCAATAAATCCATCTACTGACGTCCCCACATCATCCATAGTGGCATATTCTGAATAAAACATTGCCTTTTCGATCATTCCAAAAATGATAACAGCCCCTGTAAACAAATCACTAATTGAAACAAATTTCAAAGTGGAAAAGTGAGTGGTAGAAACAACAGAAATAACAGCAACAATAATAATTTGTGAGAAACTCTTTCAAAGGCAAATACTAAATTGCGGAATAATTTTAAACTATACCAATCCAGTACTGAATCCGCAGAATATCCTTCCAATGTTTTAAGCACATTGCGAGCCACACTATAGCCAATACGGTGTATATAACACACATTACAGCATAAAAGCGTCTGAGCGGATAGTCAATGGCACTAAGATACCCGTTTGGGCCTCGCCATTGCAATTCAACAGTTATGTTTTGTGGGTCTTTTCTATCTTTAGATTCTATAGCAGAGTGAAACCTTATTATCAGGAAATATATGCCATCTGCCTGAACCGTAAGACAGGGATGCCAAGAACTAAAACAGCTCATCTAATAACTCACTCAAAAATAAATTGTAAATAAACAATTTAAACTCATAACAACCAAGTTTTTTAACAACAGACCTTAAACTGTTTTTGGTACCACCATCAATAGAATTACCATTTAAACCAGGATAAATGCCTCTTTTAACTCGTCCTTTAATAGCACCTTCACCCTTCAAAACGAATAGGAACTATCAAAATAGGAAAAAATAACAACAAAGGAATCTAAAGAAATATTAAAAGTAATGACACATAGTTTATACCAATTGTAAGCTTTTTAATTCTAACAAGCAGAAAAATGAGAAAATCTGGTACTATTTAATTACCTCCGGAGTAGCAGGCAAAGGTTTCACGGTATGTAGCTCCATTCCTCTACCGGCTAGAACCCCTTCAAAAAGTTGCGTTTCGCCATTCACACAGCTAAACGTTTTTTCGTCCGACTTATAATAAAAAAACTCCTTATAAGTGTAACCCTCCGGGATTTTATATTCCTCTTTAAAATAAAAATCCTGAAATAAATAAATTCAAATAATAACGCTATCAAGAGATTGATATCATACCTTCGCAGTCTCAAAGAATAAAAGACTATTTTACAAATAAACATAAACATTTTAAGTGAAAGTGTACTCGTTCAAAAACACAATTCTGCCAAAAAAATAATGAATGAACCAGTGCAGTAGAGCACCTACTTCTTTTTCTCACCCAGGTAAAAATCAAAGATTTTAAAAAAATATTGCAGACCATCAAAATTCATCTCATCCAAATTTATGTAAATTTAAAAAAAAGCTGTAACTTCAAACAAATGTCCCATTAAACAAATTCAAAATGAAGAGCCCTAGTTATAGCTGAGCGACAACGCATACCAATAAACTTTTAACTTTCTCCTGGCGTTTTATGTCAAAAAACTCCTTGTCACAAGGTGAACTTCGGATAACAAACTGCGCAATAAACTGGAAGTCTGATGCCGTAGTACACCTAAGACGAATTTCAAACTCAGTTCCATTTAGTGCTGAACGTGGAAATGCAATATATTCAACCTGGAATTTATTGGCTTCTTTGAACAATTATCCAACAGCAATTTATAGAACACTAAAAGCAATAAAAAAAGTGCAAGAGAAAGATAAAAAAATAAAAAAAAACAGAAGGAATATATACCGACCAGAGTTGGGTCAGGCTTCAATTCCACTTCAGTCGTTGTTATAGCAGGCATCAACAAATGTGAGCACACGCATTGTAGCAATGCTAATTGAAAAACAAACAGTAACATTACCTGAAAAATAAAAATGCAAACGAAAGGTAAAAAATAAAAAGAAGAAAAAAGAAGAAATAAAGACGTAGCATAATCCACGTTAAAACTTTAATAAGTTATAAGAGACCTATATGAAGTCAAAGATATTATTGCGGTTTAATACCCAAAGAAGACATTCAGCGACACTCAGCGATTACGCATTTATAGATAAGAGCATAAATATCTATATTTAAACTTATATTTATATACTTCCAAATGATCGTAGCAAAAGTTAGCAGAGAAGTCATCTAATGTGAGTCACTGACGAAAAAACAAAAATGCGTGAGAAAAAAAAAATAACTATGAGACTGCTGAACAAACAGTTCAATGTTATTATCATCGAAAGGAAGAATAATATTTGCAAAGTAACTATATAACGCTGATGTGTGAATGAAGAAAAATTGAACAACTAAAAAAATTTACACCGAAATTGCAGCAGTAATTTTAAGCACAATTTGTCATATGTATTAAAATAAGCAATCACCAGAAGCACACAGATATTCAACCAACTAAGTTAACATTGCTGTATTAGTGTAGAAGATATATGAATATTATCAGAAATACTGTTTTAATCATGCAGAAAATAATATTTCTTGAAAAAACTAAACAATGCCATAAATCCGGAAAAAGATCAAAAAAAAAAAAAAAAAATGTATCTATGTATACAAATGTTTATATGCAAAGAGAAGTGGCAAAAAAAAACTCATGCAATATTTGTTTTCATGTGTGCCAATTGTTTAATCGTTGACAACAGCGAGATACAACAGTTTGGTGAGAAAAAGTTGGTTAGCACAAAGTGAACATTGAAAAATTATGGCTAGTCAAGGCAAATAAATAATCTATTCCTAAGTAACAGCCAACAAAACACAAACCCCTTGTAATATGTATCAAGAACAAAAAAAAAAAAAGCGAACTTCTAGATCCAGAAGAAACAGACCTGAGGAAAACTGGAGGCAACTGCAAATAAAGCATATTGCAAAGAGAGACAGGCAACCAAACAGAGCCGAAAAGGGGACAGTGTTCGAATGTGGTGCTGTTAGTTGCAACGTTGTTGCGGTTTCAGTGCCAGAGGATTCTGCAACGATCAGAAGTCAAATTGTCGCAGCACTTTACCACCAATCAGACGGCTTTTTTCCTTTCCTTTTTTTTCTATCTGTTAGTCGGCTGAACAATAAAGGTTTGTTTAGTGATGTATATTAGCTGCTTATTACCATTGTTGGCTGTCGTTAATGATACATATATCTTAATGACACCTAATGGGATGTAGACAGAAGGAAATTGTTAACGTTTGATCATTCTCGCAGGTGATGACAACGCCTTTTATATAGATTCGTCAAAAAAAAAAAGCAGTTATTGGTTACAAATCTTTTTTTTTCGTGTCTGTATTCTGTTATAGTGGAGAAATAACTACGTGTATATCTGTTGTTTGTGTTCAATTGACAGCTGACCATTGATCAATTTATTTTGCTTCTGTTTATAAAAGTACTGTTTGGCTCATAATCTGCCATTCTCCAAATAACAGTATTATAGTACCGGAAAACAAAACTTTCTTTTTGTTTTTTCTTTTTGCTCTTCAAATTAACTGTTGAGGTGTTATAAGTACTAAACAGTTTGAAAGCTTCTTGCTCACTGGTTTACTTTTATACGTATTCTAATGTTGAATGCTTGAAAGTTGAATTATTTCACTCGATAAATTCTCTGCATTGTATTGTCGGATATGTACTGATTGTTGGTCTTACACTTTTCTTTTATCGCCTCACACAATTTCATATAAAAGTTGAAATAAAGTAAGCCGAGAGTGTGTTTTTTTAGTCACTTATTTGGAACTGACCGTCGGTTTCAATAATTTTTGGCTACGTAATGGAATAAACCCATAGAGTTATGAGTTTATTCAGTCAGCTGGTTAAAAAGGCACGGGTTAGTTTTTTTCTTTTTATGCAAATAGATTTATTCGCTGCACTTATTATGTTTAAAAAAATTA